ACCACAGGGTCATCATCCGAGTGGTATTGGTTGTCACATTCCGACGGGCCGCCGCCATCTCCACCGGCCTGAAAGCTGTTGAGTGTCAACGTTGCTTTCGTATGGCTCGACACGAGCGGTGAACATTTATATGTTGTGTAGAGCTTCCCAACTTTACAACAGTCAGAGTCGTTTTCAGTGTTGCATTGCCCAGGAGGAGGATTTTTCCCTCTTATTGTCCCACTAGGCCTGCAAGTTTGAGCTTTAACACTTGCGAATATATACACAACGCAAAGGAGAATTATGAAGACACTTGAACCAGCTTGCTTCTTCATTTTCTAATTCAGCTTTGTTTTAATGTTTTGGTTGTGCCAAACTACAACTGGGAAAGGCAATATAGAGATTATAGCTCCAAGTAATTTAAAATATCACTCTTTCAAACTTTAAATTAAGACAGATTTGTGGCACCTTCGGACTTCCAAGGATAATATATTCTTTTTTAACTTGCAGAAAATATAGACAAATATAGGTATAAATATTATGGTGGACCGCTAGAATGGAAGATTTGTGAGTTGAGTTAATGTATAAAAGTATATGCAATGAATCAAACATGTATTGTAATGATAAGGAATATTCTTTTAATAATGATTGTGTTGATCAAGTTAAAACAAATTTAGTTAAGTTAATGAATTGTATTTTATGATTCAAACTCACTTTAAATTTTTTTTAGTAGAGTTGAGTTTGTAAGTTTGAGTCAAATCGAAGTGTTCGAATTTATATTTAAATTTAATTATAACTATTTTTAATATTACAATATTGATTCTATTTTTGTACTTTCTCTAACCATATAATATATATATATATATTCATATTCCTTTCCATTTTATAATGTTACTAAACAAATCAAATAGAATCGAATATCATTATAAATAAAAGGGTAAAATATATCATTGATCACCTAACTATTTAGCCCTTTTATTTTACCATCGATCTTTCAATTTTGTCAATCAGACCACTTAACTATATAATTTTTTCAATCAAGCCACTTGTTGTTAATATCTAACGGAAATACCGACATGGCAGTTAATAAAATTGGTATAATTATACATTTAATCCTCAATAATTAGGCATTTTATCAATTTGGTCCTACATCAAATTTAATTCAATAAATTTAATCCACCAATTAGATGGTGAAACATGTCACCATTAGATTAAATGTTTTTCTATAATTTAAATTTATTTAAGGGTAAATTACATCGTTCCTCACTGTATTATACTCTCTCTCCTATTTTCCTCACCCAACTTTAACTTTTCTATTTTGCTCACTAAACTTTACAAATTGAATCATTTTGCTCACTCCCCCGTTTTCTCTCTAATGACTGATGATGTGGCTTTTTTATTATTTAATATAAAAAAATTAAAAAAATAAATTAAAAACGGAAATGTGGTCGGATGCCACATTCGACCATTGGCGACAACCATAGATAGTGGTCGTTTGTGCCCAAACTGGGATGGGTCGCTTCGCCTCGATGTCACGAGATCAAATTCAACCTCCATTTTGTCAGAAGTTGCTCCGAAGCCCACGAATTTGAGATTAAAAGTGAGGAAACTGAAACGTTTCAGTCCAAATTCACGGGTTTTGGGATATTTTCCGGTGAAACAACCACCAGGTTCAGACTCATGGGTCGAGACAAATCAACCCATCCCATTTTGGGTTCGAACGGCCACCATCTATGGCGGTCGGAATGAAAATGACGTGGTGGTCGACGAAGAGAAAATGGAGAAGAGAAGGAAAAAGGGTAAATTACACCATGAGTCATTAAACTTTACTCTCTCTCATATTTTACTCACCAAAACGACATAGTTTTAGAGTATATTTGAGTTTTTCAAAACGGCGTCATTTTGATTCATGTGCCATGTCATAACGTCGTTAGAAAAAGTTAACGACAGAGTAAGCAAAATGATTCAATCTGTAAAGTTCAATGAGTAAAATAGAAAAATTAAAAGTTGGGTGAGGAAAATAAGAGAGAAAGTATAGTACAGTTATCTGGTTAAATGAAAATCAAATAGCATATGGATACATAAGAATAAAGAAGGTTTGGGGGGGGGGGGGGAATTGATCCCGGGGCACTGGGTTGAAATGCATGCACCTTACCACAACGCAAAGCTTCATGTTTTTATTACACAACACAATATATATTTTATTTATTTATAGAGGAAAAAAAGAAGTATGCCCATGGTGAGAATCGAAGCTAGGCCACATGAAAAAGTTAAGAAATCTAAACAACTAAATCAAACGTTATGTTTATGTAATAAAATGGTAGCGTATTTATATATATTAAAGACTTATTTATACAATATTAAAATGAAAATTAAATTTTAATATTTTTATTTTCACATCTATAATTGAATGATTATATATTTTCAAATTGAATCTTTTTAAGTTAATTAACGAATTTATTTTTTTATTAAAAATAATGTATGAAATTTAAAAAATTAATTAAAATATAGTTTCATAATTCAAATTGAATTTATTTTAAAAATATATAAATTTAAATTTATTTTTCATTTTAATATTTTATAAATTAGTGTTTAATATATATAAATAACCTATTTTTGTTTTACGTATGCATAAGGTTTAATCTAGTTGTTTAGATTTCTTAAGTTTTTCATGTGGCCTAGGTTCGATTCTCACTATGGGCACACTTCTTTTTTTTGTAGAAATAAATAAAATATTTGCAAACTCGTAGTTTAGCCTGGTCGTAAGATGCGTGCACTTCAACTCAATTCCCTAGGTTCAATTCCCCTCATACGCTTTTTGTTCTTATGCCTCTAATATGCTATTTGATTTTCATTTAAACAGTTGGTGACACCATCTATGTATCCACCTGGTTGGAAGATAAATATATAATTAAATAAATTTAAATTTTAAAAAACATTTTAATCTAATAGTAACATGTGTCACCATTTAATTGGTAAATTAAATTTATTGTATTAAATTTGATTTAGGATCGAATTGATAAAAATGTAAGTATTGAGATCTAAATGTATAATCATATCGATTTTATTAATTGTCACGTTAACATTTCCGTTATTTATTAACGACAAGTGGTTAATTGAAAAAATTATATAGTTAAGTGGTCTGATTGACAAATTTAAAATATCTGTGATAAAAGTAAAAGGGTTAAATAGTTAGGTATCAATGGTATAGTTTACCCTAAATAAAATAAACATCATAAATTATAAAAAATATATATATAAAATAGAAGGGTAAAATACACAAAGAGTCACTATGGTCCCTAGACTATAGGGTGTTGCTTTGTTGAGTCCACTAACTATTAAAAGTTACAAAATGATTATCTGACTATTCATATATTTCAAACTCGTTCTTTTTGTTAAAAAATTGATGATCATCTGAGCTGGACACTAACATGTTGATTAGGATATAGTAATCGTTTGAAATTTAGAGATCATATTTTATCATAACTCAGTCAGAATGTTAACGTAAGGTGTTCAAATCCGGATATCATATCTGCTCCGATCCAAAAATTATGTCATCCGAAATTTTTGGATACCTGAAATAGCCATCAGTGGCGGAACCACGTGCCCACCCTGAAATCCAAATTTTCTTTGGTTAGTTTCTTATTTTATTAATGGTGCTCACCTTGAAATTTTTATTTGTGCTCACCTTGAAATTTTAATTGTCCCGCCCATTTAAAAATTTTGTGTTACTAGCCTATGTGTGTCTACCTTAAAAAATATTTCTAGATCCACCACTAATAGTGACCCATATCCTATCCGAAAAAAATCGGATATCTGAATCCCAATATAAAATTTATTTTAAGAATTTTATATTTTATATTTTGTGATTTAATGAAACTTATTTGATATCTCTACTATATATTTAATTACTCATATACAATAAATTATTAAATATCGTAATTTTTAATGGGTTAAAGCTTTAAGTTAGTGTATTACTCATTTATTGGGCTAAAGGATATATAAAATCTAAAAGCCCAATGTTTTTAGATTTTCGGATGATCCAAACTTGGAATTTATCCGACTTGTATCTGATTCAATTATCCAAAAAAAAATTGAATGCCCGATCCAAATTATCCGAAAATAAAAATGGATCGGATATCTGAATTTTCAGATTGGAACATCGAATCGGTCGGATTGAATCTTTTTGCACACCGCTAGGTTGACATTCAACTCAGACTATCGTCAATTTTTTAACAGAAAATGAAGATTTGAGAACATATGAATAGTCGAGTGTCTATTTTGTAACTTTTACTAATTAGAGGACTCAATAAAATAATACCTTATAATTTAGGAATTATTTTATAATTTTTAATAGTTGAGAGACTCAATAAAATATCATCCTCAATTCGGTACTTCATTTGTGTACTTTACCCGAAATACAGTTAATACCAAAATTTGAAAAATACTAGCCTAATTCACATCGCTAAAAACCAAAATCATTGCTCTTTTTTTTTTTTTTTTTTTGTCAAAGGCCAAAAACCAGATTTCAACCCAAACCAAGAGGGTAAAAAAATTTAAGCTATTTCGTTTTAAATACTTGCAATTATATTTATTGTTTATGTTATACATAAAATGATCGAATTGTAAATATGTGGGCGTCGTAGTCTTGAAAAGAAAATTAAGGATGCTGAGATTTGAAACCTAGTGGATAACAAATTATGTAAAATTTGTGTTAATATGAGTTAGATGAATGTAGAGGGGAAAAACAATGAAACCAATAAGATGCATATGAATGAATGGATTAGATTATGAAAAAAGTTACAAATTCAACCAAATGCTGGCCATACTTCGTATACCTAGAAGAAAAGGTGGTAGCATTGGTTGCAGAAGAAAAATCTTTGAGCTTCTATATCAGCAGTTCCACTGCATTTTTCAATCTTGGCTAAATAGGAGATGGATATTTTTACTCCTACCTGAAAGATTGGCAGGCATTCCGCTTTTTTTATTATATAATCATCAGTATCCGATCCATTACGAGATCAACAACCAGCAGCTTTTAGAAAGTTATCATATGGGGTTGAGGTTGGTAAACTGAAAGGCTGGAGATGGTTCTGGTACTCTGTGCCGACTGGTTGTTTGAATGGGTTAGTACCATCTGTTTGTTCGAGGACAGGACCAGTCTGCATTTTTAAGTTGCAACAGATGTGGGATAACACCACTCAACACATGCATGATAAATATAAACATGCATAAATTTCACTGAATCAAGGGCCTACCTGTTTTGTGTCATCAAAAGGATTTTGAAAAGATCCGCAGCCATTCAAGCTTTCTTGACTCAGATGGACAAGATCAGACATCTTCTGCCGCTTCCCAGTCAAGAGTGTCTCGCAATATTGAGCCATATCCATGTAAGACATGTCAGGTCTGGTGGAGACAGATTCTCTTCCAAACTGATCTGAAGTCTCCATTACCTGTGTCGATAGAGTGAATAAATATGTGTTCGGTCGCTTGTACTGTAAAGACTAGAGTAAAAAGAATGACATACTGAATCTAAGAGTTGATTGACATCCAGGGGTTTTGGAATTCCCTGTGACAACCCTGAATCCTCTTTGGTTTCATCTATAGAGGGAAATGGAGCTTCCTGCTGAGCAAAAGAAATCACATGAGTTCACAGATAAATTTCAAGGGTAGTGCAAGAGAACTTACCTCCTTAAAAGGTTTATTTTCTTGTATGCTAGATCCATCTACTTTAAGTAGTGAATCCATAGGCAAGTGAGCACCTAGAGGGCACACATCATCCGGCAAGAATTTAGTTAACAGCTGTGCCCTTGTATTGGACAATTCAGGCTGCGTGTATATTCACAAGATATTAGTGGAGGGTTATTAAAACAGAAATTACTAGTTCTTTGATGAGATAAAAGAGCTTACTTCTGATGAAATTCCCAAGCCTTTTAAGATCTCTGAAACAAGGCTTTCCTTGCGTTGCTCTGGGGTAATCTCAATTTGTGAGAGCATCTTTAAAGCCAAATTATCATCTTCTTCAGATCCATAAACATTTTTTGGTAGGTCAGGCCTAGTGTCCACTGCCTTCAACTTGCATTCTTCCACCAAGTGCAAGAATGGATCATCCTATTAATCATAGAACGACGACATATGTTTAATTTACGGATGGAAAATGCCAGAAGTAAAAAGCAAGGAAAAGAAAGTAGCGAAGATCATGAATGATAAGTTTTCATACCATTCTTTCTGTTATAGTAGCCATGGCAATATAGGCAATAGGAAGAATATTGAATGCCTTTGATGAAAATAGAATCATTGAAGTTGCCAAGGTGAAAAGAGATCTACGGCGCGATGGTGGAAGTGGCCCTGCAGCAATAGTGAAAGTTCAGAATAAGGAGATGATACCCCAATAATAGATGTCAAGTTCGTTGTTTCATTTTCTTATTTGTTACTTCTTCCAAGGACTGGTGTCATAATCTAATTAAAAAGAACCATCTTCCCAAATCCTTCTTACCATATCATGTGCAGCATTCATGAAAAGAGTTTATAAGAGGTTCTTAGGAGATAAAGGTTAAAGAAAAAGAAACCTAGTTTAAGGTTAAAGAAAAAGAAAAAGAAAAATAGTTTAGTTCTACTTCTGTAATTCTCAGCCAATAAAAGTACTCTGGTTCTTTTATTTTTAAAGTAAGCAATAAGAACAGAGCAATAAGAACAGAGTCTCTCTTCTCTTTTCATTCGAAATCTCTCTTTCTTTCTTTCCTTTTGAAATCCCCTTCCGTTCTTAGAATATCAACACTAGCATCTTTTATGCCAATCATAATATGCTAATACTGTCTAGTGATTGTGTATGTGGCAAACTGGCACTTGGTTATAAAATGCTTCACTTAAAAGTAAGATTTGAGAGAACAACCAGGCTATATTTCCCATTGGATTTATGTCCTTAAGAGAGCTTCTTACATTTCCAATCCATCAAAATTATCGCTTCCCTTTCTTTCTGCAGGAAAACCTTGGTGACATCCATGTATGTGCTAAACATGTCTGATGACTACTATGATTACAGATTAAATAAATTGTATTTTTTTCGTTTCATGCAAGGCAGACTCTAGTCTTCTACTTTTATTCTTCTCTAAGTATTATTAATTTTTTTTATTATTATTTTGGTGTTGTTGAAGAGTAACACAAGGGAAGCAAACACCAGTCAAACCCATGTGATTGCAAAGACAGCTATAAATCTGGACACTCACCTCCATTAAGAGCGATGCTTCGCAAAGAAAAGGCTAGCTGGAAACTACGAACGAGAGACTCATTGCCAGAATTCTGCATTATATTAAAAATCAAAATACAGAAATTAAACCTCCAGAAAAGAATGAATATCATCATTTAGATGTTGCCGACAAGCCAATTAGACAATCAACTAAAATTTTCATATAACATGCAATTAAAAGACTTGACAAGTTCTCCCATAGTCTACTACACAAATGACTCGCAAAGTTAAAGGTTCCGTGTGGGCCTACAAGTGTTTCGTTATGGGACAAAAATGAGCCCTAATACTCTACGTAGAATTACTGTACTTCTTTCTGCCCAAATTCATTTTCAGGAAGCAACAGTTGAGCGATTACCTTGGCTCGAGCAAAGATCATCACAAGGCTGTATGTATGAGCAATGGCTTCGTAGTTTTGTGGTGTATTTTGAGGAGAGACAGACTGTGCCCAGATCGATGAAAGCAAGAGACTAATCTGGGTGCTACTAAGCCGTAGAGAATCAAACTCCTGAAGTTTGACAAATAAAAATAATTACACAAAAATAAGTTCAGAAAAAAACAATTTCAGACACAATTTAGTGCTAATCATTTCAAGATACCGTATTTGAATTGCCTGGGGAAATTTCATCTGTTTCCAATGATACAGGGAGATGTCTTGAACTGTATGCTCGACTATAAGATGATTTCAAACGATTCAGAACCGTATTATTGCTGTTTCTAACTTCACCGTCACTAGCATTGTTTTCATTTTGTATAGAAGAACTCTGCCTTAAGAAGGATTTCTCCTTCTTTAGCTTCTCAAAAAGGGCAGCTGATGAAGAAAAGACAGAGACGGTTCTTGAAAGCGATCTTTGAATAACTGCGGCTTTGTTTGCTACTGAAGTAACAAAGGATTGGCGAGGGCAAACTGAAGTTGGCACAAGAACAACAGAGAAAATACGGTGAGCTTCGATTCGCGTTTCATGGTCAGGGTGGACCATAGCCGGGAGTAATTGATGGAACAAAGACTCGGGAAATGCCTATGGGAACAATGAAACACCATATAATTAAAAATACTGCATACAACACCAAGAAATGTTAATCACCAAAAAATCATTAACAATTATGATTATTACCTTGTTTATATAGGATGGATTTGGAATTGAGGCAACAACTTGAGCAGTGCGATAAACAACACAGACGGTTGTTCTGGCTATAACTGTAATATTCGGGATGTTCTCCAACATCACAGCCATAGCATCAAGAATTGGACCTGCATCTCCGACCTGTTCACAATAGCTAGCTCAATTTCAAACTATCTAATCTAATCATAATAGAACTTAGGAGTGACAAGAGAGTGGCCCCACCTTTTTTGATAACTGTACAAGGCAATTATCCACAGTTTCTTTAAAGCTCCTATTCCATTGTATAATTTCGGGTCCCAAAGTTGCATCACCGAGCGAGCAGTGTATGCTCTTTCGCAGATGCCTCATAACATCACTAACTGCACCAAGTATTGCTATAGAAGGTTCAACTTTTGAAAGTTGAGCTAGAGAGGTTGCAACCTCTAGAACTTGAAGTTGCATGTCAGGTTGTTTGAGAACTGTTTTGTGGTCAAGATGCTTAATTAATAAGGATAGCAATAAATGTGTGTTCTGTCCTGCAAACAGAGAAAAATGAATAAATAGCATTAGTTTCTCACAGTTGTTACAAGTAAAAAAAAATTATAGGAAAAAATAGACATATTGAATGTTGAAAATGCATGATACCAGAGCTCTCCAGTAAAAGCTGCATATCCTTTAAGACTGGAAAGGCAAGACCAGTTTGAAGAGACCATGAGTCCTCATTATCCATGTAACGAAACAATGACTCGAGAACACGTCGTGCTGTGGTAGCTTCCTTGGCTAGGTTTGCCATGTTATGTAAACAAACCTTGGACCAGAAGGAGGGATTCTGGGCATCTTCCCTGTGATAAGAGAAAAGAAAAAAGAACTCATTGAAAGGTAATTATTTAAAATAAATGAAGTAAAATACAAAAATGAATCAGAAACATGAGTCATGTGATTACACTGAGACATTTAGTTCTCCTTTGTCATTCACAATTGTGTCCCAAGAAGGAAATATTATGGGGACATGCCCCTCATCTTTTTGCACGTCTTCTTCCAACTGACTTTGGGCACCATTAGGATTCTCTGAACTTTTCCTTGGGTCTCCATAATTTTCCAAGACTACTGAAACAATCTGTTTTGATAATTAAAAAAAAATCCTTCTAAGATAGAAAATTAATTTGCCAAAATAAATCACCAATGAAAATATTCTGCAATGGAACAAACATGGAAATAGGCAGAAGGTAAGTTCGAACAACGCATTTGCATCATAAGAAAACAAACTGATCATACTTATATCTAGCTGCTCTTCCCATATCAGAGTTGATGATTTTCAAATGAAATCTATCGCTATAACAGAAAACATGAAGATATAGGCAACCAAGATAATGAATAACATGGCAATGAACTTGAAATGGTATGTAAATAGGTCTGAATCTGCTTACATTGTCAAATTCCACCGAAATGTGAGAGTGTTTTCCCATAAACCAAATCTGCACAAGAGAACGGATATCAGAATACTTCCATATACAGTTAGAACAAGAAGAAAATATAAGCTGTAAGAAAGAAACAAAAATAATTAGTGAAAAAGAAAATAGTATCGCCATTAACACTGTTTCCAAATTTAGTCTTCTATGTTGTTATGAAAAGCCTGAGACACAGTAAGAAGCATTGATAAAGATTTGCATTTCGAATAGCTCAATATATCAACCTTAGAATTCCACCTTTCCTTCTCGGAAGGAAAGTATATAAATAGGTTAGCTTAGAATGTGAATAATAAGATTTCTTCTCTTCAGATAACTTCTTAAATTATTATTTTCGTGACAGATTGTAGAGACTTCGATTCGAATTTAGAATTTAGCTTTCGCTTAACTCAAAGAAGAAGAAAAAAGGATTTAGGTTCGCTAAATTTCATCGCGAAACATCGAGTTTTCTGAGGCATTTCTCGTGGGCTGCTGTGAGATGAGGCTTGTTGTTCTCACCGGCGGCACACGGAGGTGCGCCGGAGGTTTTCCAACGGTATTGCAGTTTATGATGACCGCAGGGGCAGCACGTGGGATTCACACGCCAATAAAATGTTTTGTTTCTTCTTTACAAGCTGGCGCGTGGCGGCCTCCTGCTCGAAGGGTTCTTTTTCAATTGGCGGTTCAAATTAATCTGATACGCCCCGTTTCGATATTAATGAAAGAATGTTGTTTCAGGAAATGATGTCGTTTCACGATGGGAGTAAAATGTGTGGAAATCTATTATCTTATGCTGCATATTAGTTCTGTTTCTTCTAGTTTACTTTCCCAAAGCTTATATAGCCATTACTGACTTAATTATATGATTTAAGGTTTCTTTTATCATCTGTATCCCAGAAAGAAGAAACCCTAGGAAAAAGTTAAGATCATGCATTCCAAAAGAAGAGAAGGCATTTGAATGTATACCATTGAAGAAAGTGCTTGCAGCCCAGCAGCACATAGATTTCTTTCCCTTTCACTTTCTCCACCTTCTCCAGTTAATTGACATAGTTGTGGAATAAAGCCTTCTAACTTAAACATGCAGGTCCCATCCTCCTGCAGAATTTCACAAGAATTTTAAGCATGTTGCCATAGACATGCCAACGTTTGAAAATAAATGCATGCGTGCACCAACCTGATTATTCAAAAAATCAAAAAGTGTATGGCATCCGATGATTCGCATCTCATCATGCCGTGTTTGGTCCAACAGAGTCTGTATTATGCTCAACAAGCTACTGGAAAATAGTGGCCTACAAAAACAAAAGATCTCATGATGCAAAAGTCTTCATATAACCAAAAGATAAGTTACAAACCCTTGAATTTCGCAAGGAAAAAGAAACTCACATTTGCTCCTTACAAGAGATCAACAGTTTCCTGTAAATGCACATAACAATTTTCACTGATTGAAACTTCTCATTTCTCAGCTCCTTGTAACACCTCTGCTCAAGGAGACTAGTGATCTGATTATAAGAATGATTTACACGATTCATTAGCTATAAACTGTGCATGTTGCAGTTGCAGGAATAAAAAAAATCTTCATTTCTAATCAATTGAGATATGCATTATCCTGAGGCTTGCAAATATATTGTACCTTCGGGATGCGCAAAGGATTTTTGGCAGCGTATTCACATAGTTTTCCTATATTACGTTCATTCGGTCCTTCCCCCTATCAGAAGAAAATGAATTAAATTATATGATTTTATGTGAGGGACAAAGGCACGTAAGATTTTATACCGAGAGATCACAGGAGGTTTGAAAACACGAACCTGTTTACGAGGGAATATCTGGGAAATCATCTTCTTGTACCTCTTAATAGGCTGCCTGGACCTTGTACGTAGTCCAGGGCAAAGGAAACACAGGCTGCCGCATGCAGGCATGACATGCCTGGAAATGGCTCCGGAGATGCTCATTGTTGTTGTATTTATGTTTTTCTTAAAATTATATAATACCTAGGAATATTTTAATATCCTTGTGCTTTCTTTCCCTTCTAAGCCATTAAAAAGTTGGACTTCAATGTCCAGAAGGGAAAGAAAAGCTTTACAAAAAAAATGGGTACCCCTAAATCCAATCACCAAACTATGAACAGAAATCCTGGTTTTAAAACCAAATTTTTAAAGTTAATCTCCAAATCAAAACCAAGCTAAATAACTTCTGACTCACAGCTACCGTAACCTGGATTAAAAATTCAAAAGAAGAAGAAGAAGATTTCAACAAAATGCAGTGTTGAATCGAAGTTCGATAAGAACCCAACAAAATTGGATTGATTTTGGAAAGGGAAAAAAATTAATAAGAAAACGGATGGCAAAAGGTGGGGTTTTCATCAAACAATTTTTTCTAAAAATTCGAAAGATGCCTAGAATCATGCCAAAAATGGCTGGAAATCTAAGGCATTGCAAACAATCCCCGATTTTCCAGCCTTTGCACAAACAGCGAAATCCAATTAACCTCCCCTTCTAAATATATATGCTAAATAGAAGTCTTGTTGTCGCATGAGTTTAACGTTTGAAGCTTCCCAAATAATTTATTCTTGAGTTAACTACATGATTTATTTATGTTGTTTATATATTCTCTCAATTTAATATTACTTTTAATAAATTAAAATAAATTTAATCATTCAATCGAATAAAATATATTTAATAATTAAAATATATATTTTATATTAAATTATTTTGAAGTTAGATAATAATGAAAATATATTTAATAATTTAAAGTAATAATATAATATATTTAATAAATTAACATAAAATATATACTTTGAAAAGTTAAAATAATAATAAAATAAGTGTTTGATGAATGGCTTTTTGAAGAGTTTTTAGTTTAGTTGAATATAAATAATTTATTGGTAGTCAAATCAACTATTTTTAGTGTTTAGTAAACACTTTTTTAAAATAATTTATTGTGCAAAATAAGTTGAAAATGAAAACGCTGTAAAATTCAACGGTTTGGGAGAGTTTATTGTAAAATAAGATATTAAAAGACATATTTAACTTTATTATTTCAATAATTACATCCTTGCTTTTAAGCCTAATCTAATGAAATGCCCTCCATCCAACTATATTTTAGTGAACTTTTATTTTATTATTCTATTTTTTAGTTGTAGATTCTCAAATATATTTTAGTTAAGAAAATATAGCAAAACAAGAAAGTAGAAAAAAATGTAGTGTTGATAATTTATAAAAGGTTTATAATATGTATCAATTTCACAAGGTTAAGATTTGTAAATATTAAATTTAAAAAATATATTCAAAATTTTCAAAAATATTCACTATTTTTCTTGAAGAATTTTTAATTTCTTGTTAAAAGCATTTTATCCAAATAATTTCACTCAAATAAAGACTAAAGTATTATAAAACATATATGCACTTAACAATTAAACGTATCATATCTTTATTTGTCATTTTACCCATATCAGCTATCTACTAAATTTTTCTAAACACGTCTATATAAACAGATAATCAAATCAGCTAATCAAATCAGTTGGTCAACCATCCACTGGAATGAGCTACCAACTATCAGCTATCAGTTGTTTGCCAAACAACCCCAACATATTTTTGAAAAGTTTAAATTAAGTTAAAATAAGATAATATGTAAATAATATGGATCAAATGTGTGATTATACCAAAATACCACGTCACTTAATCTGTAAACTATTAACGACAATTAACCCGTGGTAACTATATCTTAATTAAATAAAAACAAAAGTGATTATATCTTAATTAAGCAAAAATAAAAGTTATCATATTTATGTTTTTTGAAATCAGTTAGAAAAAGTGGATAAAACACAAACATAATTGATCAATTATGTAGTTAACCCTTTATATTTTGGACACAACTTAATGGTATTATTATTTTCTGGACCCCTATGTGTCATCATATTAAATAACACTTCTTATTTATATTTATTTTATCTTTATTATACACATTGATATATAAATTATATAAATTTAGCAGCATTTATCAAATTGGTATTTTAATTTTCTTTTATGTCGAATTCACATCTGAATTTAAAAAGAATTTTCAAATTGATACTTTAATTTTAATGGTGGGTACCAAATTGAAATCTAAGCTAAACATTAAATATGATTTTAAAAAAAATAAGGTTTAGATACCAAAACAGAAGAAAAATAAGTTTAAATACGAAATTTGTAGTTTACCCTATCAAATAACACTCCATTATATTTATTTTATTTCGAGATAAAATACAGGCTTATTATACAAATTGGTATATAAACTCAACATTTTTTTTCTTAAATTGATGCTGTAATTTTTTTTATCTGGAATTGGCAGCCAAGCATGATTTTTTTTTTTTTTTTTGAAATTGGTACTTAAATTTTTTTTAAACAAATCAGATGAATATATGGTTATGATCAGCCATGGATCCATCTTTACCCAATGCTTATCATAAAATTTAAATTTTCTTCGCTTAGCAATTCATTTTATTGATTGTGTTCCCCCTAAAAAAAATTTATATTATTAATGCATGTGTTCATCCTAAAAATAGTTTTAGATTTATTATTGATTTTAATATAATATTTTAACAACCAAATAAGTTGTGACGTATGACATTTAATGAAGTCATTGTTTTGATTGGTCAATGAACATCAACCACTAAATTGACTGTTGAGATGTCAAGCCAACAAATATATTAATTTGAGAAAATTGCTAACTTTAAATTTAGGTGTATAAAGAATTTTTTTGTCTAAAAATAAGTGTTTAATATTTACAGCGTTATATTTTTAGGTGTATACCATTAAATTTAGGTGTTAAGTGACATATGTCAGAATTATAAAATTTTTATTTTAAAATAAAAACTTAAAATTATAATTTATTTTACGAAATTCAAATCTCTTTAAAATCACCCAAAAAAAATCCCAAAACCCTAGAATAATTTTCAAACTCATTTTCAGTCGTCGTTTATTTTACCTCTTACCATTATCTATGTCATCAAAAGATCAACTACTTATCGACTTTTGATTATTGACCAGTTGTCATCTTTGTCACTATCTTAAATCCCTAAATTTTTAACCCTAAATTTCTAACTTTAATTTTAATGGGTATTTAGAATGAATGGGTGGTGGGGAATGAAATATAGGATTGGTAAGAGGGGGAGGGGGAAAGAAGGGGCCGAAGGAAGGGAAAAAGGAGAAAAGCAGGATCAGAGGTTGATATTTTTAATATATTTTGAGTAAATCATTTTCACTAATTGTTTGATAAACTATAATTAATTTTATAGAAAATGATTTACATAAATTAAAAAAAGATTGGTTCGGTTAATACTTTAAAAAAAATATAATTCGATTAACGATTAAAGAAAAAAGTTCGGTTAAGTCGGTTAATAGTAATTCAATTCGATAGATGACCGATTAACCATCTAAACACCCTTAGTTTTAATTATTAGTATTTTATTAATATAATACTAAATTATTATATTAATGTTAAATATATAAATTAATATTACTCATTATTAATAATTTAATAATATTATATTTATAAAAATAATATATAATATTAATTATATCAATAAATTATTACGTATCACTAAATTAACAATATAATGTCATATATTATTATAATATATTTGAGTACATATTAATAGAATATTATAAATATAATATTATTAAAATTATATTATATGTATATTAAATATTTTAATAATTAATATTTTAAATATTAAATAAATAAAATAAGATTTTTTGAGTTTTTATACTATGAAGTGAAAAGTTAGGAAAATGTTTTAACGGAAAATCAGATGGTAAAACATTTTACAGAAAATACAAAAAAACTAAGAAAACAAATTACATTGAGAAAATCAATTACAACTATTAAACATTGAAAAATATTTTCCGTAAAACCAATTACAACTATCAAACACCTAAAAACATTTGTTAGCAAGTCAAGGCTGAGGGTGAAATACCATACTGAAATATGGATCTCTATATAAAATAATTGAAGTTGGTACCCCATGTAACCTCACGATCTCGATAATATACAGTTAAGCTAATCTTTCCAGGAAAAATCCATTTGTATCAGTAGAAAATAAGCGGATTTTGTTAGTTGATGTACTATAACCCAAATTGAATTATGTTTTCATCATGTTATCGGTAACCATGTTACAAAATCTATAGTGGCTCCAAATTTTAAGGGTAAAGATTAGATGTGGTACCTATCTAGTGTTTTGTGGATTTTGGATGAGAATATATAGTGGGGAGGAGCTTGAAGAGGATAAAAGTGTATCTTATTTATTTATTTATTATTTAGTTTTCTTATATGTGCTATTTGATGATTCCAATTTAGTGAGGGAAGAAGAACCTTCTCAAGCTAAAGGGAATGAGAAAGCTTAAAGAATAGAGCAAGGAGCTTCCTTTTTAGTAACCAAAGCTAAGGTAATGTATTTTTATTCTTAGTGTATCCATATGAACTATAATATTTAGATTTATGAGTTGGAAGCATGCTTTTATGTAAATAGTGTCTTGGATTTGGTTAGGATATATATGACTATATTGAAGTTGTAAATAAGGAATTATGTATAGAATACCCTAATGGCCATTAGTAGTGATTAGAGAAGTGAACAAACTTGTTTGAAACCTTTAGAACAATATCGATACCGATTGAGATTTTAGAGAATTTTGGGATAGAAATTCCAATAGTTGGTTTAGGTATCAATGTCAAAGAATGATATCGATATTACTCAGAAATATAGATACTAGAATATCAATATGAGAATCGTTTTAGCGTACACACCTATCAGTGTGGGAATCGTTTGAGAGTATAGGTAATAGAATATCAGTATAAGAACCGTTTTAGCATATAGGTACCAAAATAGTGGTATGGGAACTATTCCAGGGTATAGGCACTAGGATAGGTGTATTGGTACAAATTACAATAAAAGTGATGTATTGCACAGGATAGACACGTAAATAAAAAA